TTGCCACATATTACTCTGGGGAGACACAGGTGACATTTGCAGAAGTCATAATTTGAGGCATAACGTCCTCCCTTGGACATGTGCGTGGTATATAGGGTTGCCAGGTCTCCATATGGCAGGAGACCTCCCTGCAATCCCTGTTGTGACTCACCAGCACTTGAAAGGCTGGCAGGAGAAAAATAGTGGCAACTTGGAGGGATGTGCCAGCGTTCGACAACATTGCTTTCAGCGAAAACCAGAAGTGACAACATGATATGGGGGATTTTCCAGGTTTAACCATAGAGTTTTTGCATATCCTTGAGCCAGCACCCACACATCATGACATCACTTTTGGTTTTCACTGTTAGTGGTGTCGTGCCTGTGTCATTCCCCCCCACCCCAATACTCGGGTTTCCAGACTGCAACCTTTTTCTGGTGCACTTTTTCATTCTATTCCTTGTAGAGAAGCAGATTAGAGATTCATAGAGGATATTGCTATTTTGAATCCTGAGGTGTTCTGAAAAAACAAGTGCTAGCAGCATTCCAATACTTAACAGGTTTTACTTTCTTAGGTGCCGTGCATCTATGCGCTGTCATATCATATGCCCTGTCATCTCAAATAAGTGTAGTTTGCCCAGGGTTTATATACTGCAGGAGTATGATGGCCACAGAATTTATCAGAATCCCATGCTTTTTTGTGGCTGTGCAGTTGTGTGCGGGAAAAGTTGTTTTTGGTGCTCCAGTGAATTCAGTGAGGGTTCAACATACATCTCCATTTTTCCCAGTGTCATGTTATTGAAGCATGGGACATGGAAACCTGGTCTAATAAACGCTGGTTAGAATCTTTGGATACTGAGTAAGGCTTGACATGCCCCCAATGCTATCAGATTCCCACCTTTAAAGGAGCAGTGTTGAACAAGTGGAGTTAAGTTTACACCAGTTTATCTCTTATTACACCAGTGTCAAGATCTTTCAGATAGACCAATGCAAGGTACTTAATACATGCCCTGTAGTCCTCCAGCTGGCATAATGGCATTGAACTTCAAGTTATTCTTTAAACCCTATTGGCTCTCTTCTCCCCCCCCCCCACTGTTGCAGGTAAAGTTCATGAAGACTATTCCAGGCACTGCTCTGGTGGAAATGGGTGATGAATATGCTGTTGAAAGAGCAGTCACACATCTCAATAGTGTCAAGTTATTTGGGAAGAAGCTTAACGTTTGGTATGTGTGCATCCCATTTTTCACTGTAATACTAATACTGCAACAACTATAATGCGAAAATTATTTAGCATTGTCCATTTCTGTGTTAAATAGTACTCCATTTATGTGTTAAATAGTATTCTGAACAAAGCATTCTGCAAGAATACAGTTAGTATAACGTTTTAAATATAACATCTGTCTTCTGCAAAGTAATTCTGTATTTCATTGATCCCAGCCATAACTGGGCAATTCACTCAAATAATTGACAAGTTTAATGTGGGTTACAAATTTATGGAAGTTCATATCTTGCTGCATTAGGCCTTTGCTTTCATAAGGGTGTAAAAATCTTTAAATATTTTGTCTACAAAGAGGTGTTCTTTTTTATAGTCTGTATTCTTCAATTGTAGTGTATCCAAACAGCATTCAGTTGTTCCTAGCCAGATATTTGAGCTGGAAGATGGTACGAGCAGTTACAAAGATTTTGCAATGAGCAAAAACAATCGGTTTACTAGTGCTGGCCAGGCATCCAAGAATATCATCCAGCCACCTTCTTGTGTTTTGCATTATTATAATGTTCCACTGTGCGTGACTGAAGATACCTTTGTAAAGGTAGGAATAAAAGCTGGATTTTCGATTTTAAAATATAATATAGAAGTCAAATATTAATATATATTAAGTTCTTTAAAATAGGTTCTATTCATCTTTAGTTTTCTCCTTTTACGTATTGGGTACTGTATCTTTACAAGCTCATACCCTGCTGTGGAAAGCTAAATGTGTTGGTTAAAGTAGAATCTCTTGTATTTTTCAGTATTAAATAAACAGCAAAATGTCTCTGTTAAGAATCTGAATGAGCACTTCAAGCCCAGGCATCAAAGGGACATTTCTCTGCATAAGAGGAAGTTAAAAAGTTTATTATGGGGTGCCTGTTGTCAACTTCATAAGTCTTGTTCCCAAATAATCCTTGATGCAGTTCATAAAATTCAACAAATGTTGTAGCCTGAATCTGTTCTGATTTCTTCAGTTGCATCTTCATAGATGCAGATGTAGTTGACTGTATCACCTTCACACTGAAATTGCATTGCCACAGAATCCACACAACTAATTACTGTGATCACTGATGCAGTTATTTCTGTGAAGTCTATACGAGGTCAAGTGCTTTATGGCATAATAAAGATGGTACTTACTGACAATTTTTCACTGGAGAGAGGGGACAGTGAGAAACCATTTTGAAATACCTTGCAAAATTGCAAGTTTTCCCCAAATGCTTCCCCCCCAAGATATTCTTTGAGCTATTAAGGGCTTGAGCAGTATACCTTCTCCTGTTTCCTCGCCCTTTATCTGATTCTCCATTTCTCTCAACATCCCATCTCTTCTAGGGCATATTGTGACCCCTCATTGGTCTGGTTTTTGAGACTTGTTCCTTCAGTTGACTTACTTTTTTTTTTTTTGAATGGACATTCCCCCCAACAAAGGATAGTTTCTGAACCTTTTCTGTAGGTAGCCTGGTTTTGTATCTTTTTCCCCCGTCCATACAAAGGCCACCCAGTTTGCCTTTCTAATAATTACTATACTTAAATAGCAATGTAGCTAGAAGTCTTTCTGCAGTGTAGGGACTAGAGCAACAGATGATATGAACACTGTCTTAACTTTTGATCTGGGCTGTGCCTGCCAGCCACATACATGCTCTAGAATTAACTTGCCTTACTCCAACAAAGTCCATAGTTTAGTACCATTACAGGCTAATACTGAATGGGTTTTATTCATTGTTCAGTAACTTAATGATACTATTTAAACATGGGTCTGTGGTTTAGGAAGAATTCAAGGCAAATGGATCAGCTTGACAACTCACTGCACTGAAAAGCAAACTGCCTTCCCTTTTACTCTTTTATATGTTGTTTATTACAATAAAAATGAGAGTGTATCTGGGACTGTATTTTTTTTGTACCTCACACTTAGTAATACTGTAAAATCCTCTAGGATTTGATTCTTGCTACTTAGATTTACCTGTTTTCACTTGTTCTTCTGACAGCTGTGTGATGATCATGAAGTTTTATCTTTTATCAAATACAAAGTTTTTGATCCAAAACGTAAGTAAATATCTGATTTTTTTAAAATTAAATCCTATTGATTCTGGGAAGGAGAGAACATTTTGAACTCTTGTTTTGACAGCTTCAGCCAAAACACTTTCTGGACTGTTGGAGTGGGAATGCAAGACAAATGCAGTGGAAGCTCTTACTGTACTTAATCATCACCAGATAAGAGTCCCCAGTAAGTCACCTCATTTAAATATTTCTCAACTTTGTATTTTGTCTCTTACATCATTAACTGGGTAGAAGTTGAGGGTAGTTATTAAGACGTATGAGGAAACTGGGCTGCCTAAGCAAGCTTTTTTTTTTTTTACATGGTTTAAAA